ATATATCCTTTCACGCTTTTTACACACAGAAAATCCTCCTTGTGATCCTAAAATCTCCTGAATAGTTTAGCCCTGGGTTGGAGATACGTATTTCGTCCGCAAATCGTAAAGTCGACTTTTTTAAATGTTCAATTTTTTCATTAATTTGCGTTTTTTCGTGGATTTTAATGTTTGTATTAGCCTAAAAGTATGCAACGATTAATGCGAATTTAGTATTGATTTCAAAACATTAGGAAACCGAACAGATTATTTGAAGTAGATCGTCAAAATTGAGCAGATATTCGACATTTTCCCACGAATATGTCTAAAAATTTATATTTGTGGGTCATAATTGGTTCTAGTGTTTCCATGTTTCCACGTGGGGGGTATTAAAAGTTCGGCCCGACCGAACTTAATGTTTTTTTGCTTCTTAAATCTAAATCTTGCTATTCGAATTCGTTTTCTGCTCATTTCAGGATGGGATGTTAAATTGATAGCCGATTTTTTCTTGAAAAGTCTAAAAGTCGACTTCAGGTCTCTAATAAATATTCTAATTTAAAATCCGCTTTACCCTTGGAAATATGGATCATTTTAATAATCCTTAATAAAACCTTTATGAATTATTTGTTCAAAATACCCGATTAGGGTTCCAGAGGTTATTCGAAAAATTGTTGAATATTTAACGAAGCAATCTCTAAGTTTTTTTTGGAGCAATTTTTGATTATATTCTGATTGCTTGCATGTCCTCTCGAAAATATCTTCATACAAGTCCTGAACTATGTCCTTTATTGACATTGATTGATTTAAACTCAATTATCCTCCAAACCTGACAATTTTCTAACCCCCAACCTTGCCAATTAAATACTTCATTGATTCTTCGTAAATCTAATCACATATTTTGTTTCTTCGATTCGTGGATTAGAAAAACAACAATTACAACAACAACAACAAATACAGCTTTGCCTCAGCCAAGTGTGTTAAAACGCTTGTTATCAGAAAATCCCATGCAAATTTCCCCCAACAAAAGACAAATGACCCCCTCCGTAGAATGGCCAAGTTAATACCATCATCATTATCTGTGTGAGGAAACACAAATAATTTGTTGTAGTTGTTGTTGTTGTTGTTATCCAAAAAATCTGCTAAGAACTCAATTGATTGATTGATTTTAATTTCCGTTTCTAATAGAATTGATTTCCTTTGGAGCGTGTGCCAAGCGGCAACAACAACAACACCACTACCATCATCATCACCATCGACATGTATGAGTTGCCTGTAATCCAGGACATAGATCAAGGGATTTATGGGGTGGCAACGCTTTAACGGAAATCCGATACCGTTTGCAAATCTCCAAAGCATACGCTAGCGGTCATTTAGAGTCAGGAAAAAAAGCGTTTCATTTACTTGCCAAGCAAAGCTTTGTTGAAGAATTTCAATTTGTGTGTTTGTTTGTGTGCGGATTTTGCCGAAGTTAGGGGTGAAAACGGAAAAAATCAAATCTCGGCAATTGTGGTCATATGTCTGTCACTGAGCCAAGTCCGCAGTGTTGATGACGACTACATTTTCCACAGAGTCATTGTTTGGATGTTGCTTTCGTTTGATGGCTAAGGAAGTGAAGGCGAAATCCCTCTCTCTCCCTCTCCCATTGTTTCCTTGAAGCATGATGAATTGCATTTTGAAAGGACATGGAATGACAATGTTTCCATCAAAAGTTTACTACCAATGTTTTTTTGATAGATTTCATGGATGCCTGCATTGCTGTTTTGTCGTTGACACCCAGGGCCAAAAACAGACAAGTTGTGGGTTGCCCGTCTTCGAGCGCCGGGTGTTGATGGCTACTGAAGTCAAATGTCAGGAAACATGAATTTCCGAAAAAAAAAAAATTACCAGTTTTCGGCACTAATATCAAGACTGGTGGCACGGGAGGCGAGTCCTGATCCTTTTTCGTTGGCGGCGAAAAATATGTCAAATGTTGCCTGAAATGTCAAAGAGATAGAGAGAGAGTCACCCACACGCAAAGGCCGTACCAAACACAGACACCATGACTTGACTTTTCCCTGACTGACAGACAGCCAGAGAGTGTGGTTGGCATCTTCATTTGCCCTGACACGACAATGAGGATGATGATGAGTGAAATGCTAAGACATGATACCCACAATTTTTTGGTGGCTTGTGATATATTTTTTTTGTGCAAATATTTTGTGACTACTGTGTGACATATCATGTCACAGTCAGTTGTTGTCTTCCATGGCAAAATATAACCTCCTCCTAATGGCCCAGGTCCATTTTGGGTGGAAGGGAGGGAGGAAATCAGGGGAAAATAACGCAGAGAAACACCAATTCGAGGGCATTGAATTGAAATTTTGCACTCGAAATCGTAACACTTGGAGCGCAGGATTTCTCTAAGAGAAGCTGGTGCTCTGGTCCAATTTCGGGTAAAGAGAGAATTTTTTAGTTCTCTAAGGGCCAGGTCCATTTTGGGTGGAAGGAGGGGAGGAAGTCAAGGTAAAATATCGCGAAGGAACACCAATTCGAGGGCATTGAATTGAAATTTTGCCGTCTAAATGGTAAGACTTGGAGCGCAGGATTTCTCTAAGAGAAGCTGAACAGTTTCTAGTCTGATTTCGGGAAAAGAAAGAATTTTTTGGTTCTCTAAGTGCCAGGTCCACTTTGGGTGGAAGGGAAGGAAGTCAGGGAAAAAAACCCCAGAGAAACACCAATTCGAGGGCATTGAATTAAAATTTTCTGTCTAAATCGTGAGACTTGGAGAGCAGGATTTCTCTAAGAGAAGCTGAACAGTTTCTGGTCCAATTTCGGGAAAAGAGAGAATTTTTTAGTTCTCTAATATTTCGAGGGATTCTATGTCTAAGGAAAGACCGTTTCTAAGGAAATCCGTGTTTTAGAAAAGACCCTGTCTAAGGAAGGACCGTGGGAAATACCATGGAGGCGATGCCCTTGGATTTACAAGGAATTTTTTCGTACGAATGGGGCCCAAGATTTCTCTATGAGGAGCTGAAAATTTTCGGGTAAAATTTTGGCTAAAGAGAGAATTTATAAACTCGCAGATGTTTCTGCGATTACTATACCACTCTAATGGTGTCTAAGGCAGGAGTAATGTATTCGGAAATATTTTTTAGAGGCACGCCATGAAAAGCAGTACCCTTCTGAGACAAAGTCCAAAATTTCTGTTTCAATTTCGGTTAAAGAGAGAATTTTTTAGTTCTCTAATATCGAGGGATTCTATGTTAATTTAGTGGTGTCTAAGGTAAGACCTTGTCTAAGGAAAGACCGTGGGAAAGACCATGGCAGCATTGCCCTTGGATTTATAAGAAAAATTTTCTTAAAACTTGGAGCGAAGGCTTCCTCTATGAGGAGCTGAAAAATTTCTAGTAAAATTTTGGGTAAAGAGAGAATCGTAAACCCTCAGTCGTACTTTGGGATTCTATGCCACTCAAATGGTGTCTAAGGCAGGAGAGATGTATTCAGAAATATTTTTTAGAGGAACACCATGAAAGCAGTACCTTTGGATTTACAAGAAACTTCTGAGAAAATGTCCAACATTTCAGATAACATTTTGGGTAACTCTTAAAATTAATGACCTTGGAAAGCTACTAGTCTTGCCAAAATATTACCAAATTTCCAAGATTATTTACTTTAAAGACATTCGAAGAAGTTCTCGTAAAATTCCGATAAAATTTGGGGATCTCTTCAAATTGTTAGGCGTCTTACCAAAATATTGCCGAAATTCCAAGGTTATTGACCTGACAGTCCCTCGAAAACGTCCTTTCTCAAAATAGTGTTCGTCGAAAGTCTTACAAAAATATCACTGCAGATTATTATCCTTATAGTCCCTCCAAAATTATCTACAAAAGTTGAACCAGATCCAGACCTCAAATATTTTGAAAACCCTCCTAGATTTTCAGGAATATTTTTGGGTTAATTTTTTTATAGATTTCCAAGCATAATTGTGGAGAGACTATAAGGATAATAATCTGTAGTGATATTGAGGTAAGAGTCCTGGGATTTTGTTCAAGCGTGTCAAAGGCAATTTTGCGGAATGGATTCGACATTTTTCATAGATTTTGGAATGATGTTGGGGAGAAATATCCCTTAATTTTTTTTTTTTGAACATATTCTGGAATCATTTTTGGAGTTTAGGAAAATTATCGTCTCTCTAAAATTATCTTTCGAAATCTAGAAAATTTGACCCAGAAGCAGACTTTAAATATATTGAATATCCATCCAGATTTTCAGAAATATTTGAATTTTTTCATTTGTATTTCGAATTATTCTATTTGAAATACAACTATAAAAAATCGAATTACAATTGAAATAATTCGAATTACAATTGAAATAATTCGAATTAGAAATGAAATAATTTAAATTACTATTGGAATAATTCGAATTACATTTGGAATATTTCACATTTCAAATGGAACAATTCGAATTACAATTGAAATAATTCGAATTACAAATGAAATAATCTAAATTAATTCGAATTAAAAATGAAGCAATTCGAATTACAATTGAAATAATTCGAATCACAATTTAAATAATTCGAATTACAAATGAAATAATTCGAATTGCAAATGGAACAATTGGAATTTTCACTGAAACAATTCGAATTATGAATGGAATAATTCGAATAACAATTCGAAAAACTCGAATCACAATTCGAAAAATTCGAATTACAATTCTAAAAATTCGAATTACAAGTAGAATTTGCAAATTTTCAATTTTTTTGCAATTTACATCTGAAAAATGTGTAGTTGAATTTCGAGAGAGATTTTCAATATTTTTATTTCGAAACTAGTGGTTCCGTTAAAACGTTAAAACGTATGAAAATACTCTTCAAATATATTTGAAATTAATAATTTTGATCATCCATATCCTTAAAATCCTCAGCGACAAATTTCAAAATTTTATAAATTATTTTCAATATTTTTTTCCCTTGGAAATTCCGAAATTTATATTTTAAGAGAAAAACCAGATGACATTTCAAATTAAACTCTAGTGATACTCACTTCTTTTCCCTTTTTCCGGCGCCAGTATCGCGAAAACCTTTGGCAAAGGGATTGTTGTCGATTTTCAATTGGGTTATCTGCATTTCACAGGGTGGCAGGACGGGCAGCAGGCAGCACACAGCGTTAAAAAGGAAGAAAAACAAAAGAAATTTGCAAAAAAATAACGTTAGTTTGTCAGATATTCATTCATCAACACACAGAGAAATAGGTGGCCTCTTCTCATGCTCCTCTCTCTCTCGTTTTCGACACACACTCGCACAGGACGTGTGGAGAATTATCATTGATTTGTTAGTGAGCAGCTAGGGGGCGGGTGAGGTGAGGTGGATACCTTTACATACCTTTTCATTTTGATATGCAGTCACAGCTATGAATTCCGTCTCCTTGAAAACGTACGTCCTGAACGTGGAGTATGGTAGTTTGATAATGTCGTTGGCTCGCACCAAATGAAACCGGGGTTGATATTTGTGCATGGAATTGAGTATCGTCTGCAAATGGAAAACAAAGTTGGGGAAAAAAAGAACAAGAACAGAATGAGAGATTTTTGTCGATTGTTGTTGGTTTTTAGGTTCAGTTCAGTTTAACATTCAAGGCAATAGGCTTTTGTGTCATCATCCTCATCAAAACAAGCAATGGCAACAACAACAACAACACCAACATCAGCAGCAAAGGCTGTGATCTGGGTGTTTGTTGTTGTTGGGACACAGTGTATCCAACATGCCAGGCATACAGCAATTGATTGGTTGAATGATTTTGATTTGGTGGTGTTCTTGTGGACTTGTGGATCGAACTGGGTCTAGGAGGCACAATGGCTCCCCGAGTTGACAGAGACATAATAAAAAAACAAAAAACCGGGATATGGATTAATAAAATATGTAAAACTGGTACTGGCCAAACCATGGTGCAGGAATAGACATCCATCTATCCATCCCGCCAGCCATAGTTTGGCAAGTCTTTCAGAAAAGACAAACAAAAAAAAAAAAAATTTGCCACACAATGGCCACCCACAATCAAATTGCAAACTATTCTAAAAGAGTGTGTGTGTGGCCTTAATGTGGGGTTTCAGTTCGAGCCCCCTTCTCTCCTACCACGGCCATTACACGCCATCTCCCAATGCCTGCCCAAACTCCAATAATAATCGTGTTCGTTGACTTGTTTTCCATAATGCCCATAACTCTTCGATTACAACTCACAAACGTTCAATTCTGAGATTTATTTCGTTTCAATTTTTTTCCTTCAGCCCGTTGTTGTTGTTGTTGTTTTACCCTACACAAATTCGTGTTTTCTTCTTGATCTTCAGACCGGGGCTATTGGTCTATCATAAATATGAATTTAGTTTGTGGTTAATTTTGTACGCTGCTGTTATTATAAGAGACCGCCGCCGCCGAAGTCGTCGAATGGACCTCACATGTAGAGCCGACAGAGACGACAAGTTGATTACAAGCCCACATTAACAACAACAATACTAAAAACAACAACAATACTAAAAACAACAACAATACTAAAAACAACAACAATACTAAAAACAACGACATGAAGATTTGGCCAAAAATTGGGCAGAGTTACCGTTTTCAAAATTTAAATTTTGGGTCAAAGATTAGGGCAATTTTGACTGAACTGATTCTGAATAACTTTTATAAACTGAAAATTGATTTTTCTTTCCAAAAAAATTTCAAAAATTTACCAAGGAACCCACATTCAAAAAATATTGTTTTAAAAATTTGTAGAAAAAACCTGGAAATTTTAGTCATTTTTTCAGGGTTCGAGAGAAATTGTTGCTTTGAAAATTATGTTTTTAAGGAAAAAGAACTCTGGGCTTGCGTTTTCAAATTCTTTGATTGAATTTTTCCTTCCATTTTTTAAAAATATTTTCAAAATTTGCCAACAACAGCAATATTCAAAGAAAAAAAATTTAAAATTTTTGGGAAAAAACCAGGACATTTTAGTCATTCTGTTAGGGTTGGGTAAAAAAAGTTTTCTGTTATGATGAGGTTTTTAAGGAAAAATAACTTTATCTAGAACTCAGGACAGGGTTCCTCAAAAATTTTGACTAATTTCTTTAAATGCCGAATCGATTTAAGAATAAGAGACTCCCTTTCTCTCAGGATTCATAATTTGTTGGCAGAAAAACTATACATTTTGCCTGAAGACAGTAAATTAGGATTTAAATACTCAAAATAATCAGAAAAATCGCCTCAATGACTTGATCAAGTTTTGGGTATTAAGGCCCATTAAAAATAGTACAAATTGTATATCCTACCATTCTTTGATAGCCGCTCTAAATATAAAAATTGCTAAAGACCAGAAAATCGTAATTTAATACACCGTAATCGAAGATATGCGACAAGGTGTGCGTTGGATCCGAAACGGGCATACATTTTTTCCTATCTCGAACCAATTTTTTTTTAAAGTACTCTATAAATGGAGAAATATTATGAATATATAGCCTTCGAAAGGTCCTTTTTCCCACTCGCATTAGATACAAATATTTTTTATGATAAGCTATTTGTTTTGGTATGAAAATGGTAAACATTGCAAGTAAAATTTATCATAACCAATAAATTTACATGAATGAATTGATCAAGTTAAAGGTCTTAAGATCAATTGAGAATAAGGGAAAATTTGTACCCTACGATTCTTCGATAACCGCACTGAATATAAAAATTGCTAAAAACTAGAAAATTGAAATGAAATGGACCGCAATAGAAGATATGCGGCAACGTGTGCGTTAGATCCTAAACGAGCATACATTTTTTCCATATGAAGCAAATTTTTTCCTACAAGACTATGTTCTCGGAAGCCAAGGCGAAATTATTATGAGGATATAGTCTTCCAGGAAAGGCTTTTCTCCATTTGTGTACTGGATAAAAATATTTTTATGGTAAGCCATTTGTTTTTGTATTGGAATGACGATTTTCTTCAAGTAAAATTTACCATAATTAACAAATTTATATCAATGAATTGATGAAGTTTACGGTCTTAAGATCACTTGAGAATGACGGAAAATTTGTACCCCATTATTCTTTGAATATAAAAATTATATAATATAAAAATTATTAAAGATAGGAAAATTTCAATTACGAGGAAAAAATTCCAAGATATGCGACAAGGTGTGATTTCGATACGAACATATGTATTAACCTATATATCTGACTATGAAGCACCATTTCCGTAAAAAAGAGGAAAAAATATGGAAGATATGATCCTCCAGAAGACACATTTCTACTATATATTGGATAAAACTATCCCAGTCTTAATATAAAAATTCATAAAAGTTATAACCAAGTTGGAAAAAGTACCCAATTTACCTCAACGCCATCGTAGAGTTTTCAAGCTTAAAATCTATTAAGAAGGACTTAATATTGGTTTGGTAAGGTTCATTGGCATCCGTTCTAAATATAAAAATTACTGGAACAGCAAAAGCTAAGGTATCTTAAATATAACGGCAGATATACCAGGCACTATGCATAAGATCCTAAAGAGCTTTTTTTTACAAAAATGTCGACAGATTTCCGGCTTAGTTTTTTCTACCAAGACAGTAATCTCTTCAGCATGATACGATCCTCCAGGAGAGACCTTTCACTCATATATTGGATAAAAAATATCCCAGTCTTAATATAAAAATTCATAAAAGTTATAAATAAGTTGGAATAAGTACTCAATTTACCTCAACGCCATCGTAAAGTTTTCTAACTAAAAATCTGTTAAGAAGGACTTATTGTTGGTTTGATAAGGTTCATTGGCATCCGTTCTAAATATAAAAATTATTAGAACACCAAAAATTATGCCATATTAAATGTAATACAAGATATGCCAGAAACTATGCATAAGATCCTAAAAAGTTTGGTTTTTACAGAAAATGTGGGCAGATTTCCCGGCTAAATTTTTCTAATGACGACTGTAATATTTTCAGTCTCTTGATACTCTTATATCTCCAAAATATTAAAAACTGCCTGTTATCCCATTGAAAAGAAATTGTAATACTGGCAACCCCGAGTAGAAAAAAAACGAAACACCTTTTTAATTACCATAATTTTGTGTAAGCCAAACTTACGGTGGCGGCGGCACGATTAAAGTCTCCCCTCTCAACGAAATGAAATAAAACGTAACAAATCAAATCTGTGTTCAACAATTCCAATTGCCTGGGATTCGAATCGTACAACAGCATTCACTGATTCAACAATTTAAACGATCACTTCATTTAAACGACAACGGCCACAGACCATGGCGGCGATGGCAGCAGCGACAACAACTCCAGTAGTTTTCAATCTGTTTTTAGACTTTGTTGAATAAATCGCATAACTGGCTAGACAGTTTAGCTTTTGCCAAGAGTTTTTTTTAAAAAAAAGGAACAGCAACAAAATCTAAAACAAAGCAAATCACCACCACCAGCATTTGTTGGTTGGCGATTTGAGAGAATCAACGAATTGCTGTTTATTGAATGAATGAATTCCAGTCGCTGATTATTATGCAGAAAAGTACGGACCACACACATTGTCCATGGCTATGTGTAGTCAGCCAGCCAGCCAGCTAGCAGCCTGTGAAATCCGGCATCAAGGCAACAGCAGCTAGTTAAAAATGACACAGCATGATGCGTCTTATAATTAAGCGACGCCATTTTTAAAACGCTAGCAAAAAAATTGTCATCGATGGGAATCGAAGTCACAGCCTTTGTGGGGAATGTAATGGATTTTTTTGCGACCTTTTTTTTGTGTTGAAAAAAAATACAGTAACCGGCAGAGAAATTATGACAAGCAGGAGATTCTTGGAAATGATTTCATGGGGGGAAAGTTAAAACAAAACAAAGGTTTTAAAAGAAGCAGCATTTTAAGTTTAGCGATAACGTAAGATCCTTGTTTTGTTCTTAGACTTTCAAAGTTACCTCGACTTCCAAGCCAGGACTAAAGTAAGAAATACTTCTCTGAGTGCTTATAAATCGTTGCAATATTATTCTATAGGGTCCGCTTAAAAAATAAAAATTGTCGAAAGTGAGAAAACTGAAAGCCAATGGAAATGGTAGACGTTGGCCGAGAGGCCGTTGTTTTTTTGAAGAAACTTTGTCGTTGTTTCCTGAAGAAACTTTTCCCCAAAATTTGGTAGGCCTTTGAGCTGGATTTTTTAAACTTTTTATGTATAAAAAGGATTCTATTGGGAAGTATGAATGAGACTTTGTTGAAAATAAAATAACCACTTATTTCAGTTCAGAGATAAAAAAATATTAACATTATTAAGTATTTAATATCAAAATGTGTAAAAACGACCTCGACCTCCCAGCAAGGATTTAGGCAAGAAAGACTTATTTGAGGACCAATTAATCTTTATAATTTTATTTTTTAGGATCCGCTTTAAAAATAAAAATTATAAAAACTAAGAAAATCAAAGACTGAAGAAAATTGCAGCCATTTTGAGGGAGGTATATTGTTGTTTCCTAAGGGAATTCTTTTACATTATCTTGTGGTATGCTTAAAGGAACTTTTCTCCAAAATTT